TAACTCAACAATGATATCATTCAATAAATAACTATTATGACATTTGTTGTTTGACAAATAAACAGTGCATGAAAAAAGGAACATATGATAAGGAATGTACAAGGCCCGGCATGGCCAGTTGGTTGACTCGCAATCTGAGGGTTGCGGTTTCGAATCCCTAGCCCACCGAACGTGCTCGCTCTTTCAGCCGTGGGGCGTTATAATATGACGATCAATCACACTATTCGTTGGTAAAAGAGCAGCCCAAGAGTTGGCGGTGGGTGGTGATGACTAGCTGCCTTCCCTCTAGTCTTACACTGCTAAATTAGGGACGGTTAGCGCAGATAGCCCTCGTGTAGCTTAGCGCGAAATTCATAACAAACAAACAAAGGAATGTACATGTTTTAAATGACCAATATTTTTGCATTCATATGCTAACAGTATCCGATATTTTTAACCGCGGCATAGCGGCTCATAAAATGACTCTGAGTTTTTTCAAGTTCAAACTTTTTGTTCGTTTCGCCATCTCTTGGCCAATTTGAGATCTAATTACAGGTGTGGCTATTGAGCATTCCCTACTATTTATATATATATTTGGTATCCATTATATCAGTATTTTTCGTGGTAGCGGTCATTTTGAAATTAGTATCAGCCGAGAAGGTTATATTGATATACCGCTAGAGATAGGACTTTCACAACTGGCTGTTGGTTCTTAAAAAGTTTTCAAAAGGTCATTTTTTATTTCTCTTTAGTAAGTGCACATACTCTGTTTTATTGTATCGTGTACGAGTGTTTTAGCTCTTATATCTTTAACCTCTAGAATTTTCCATTAATATAGCAGTAGCTCAATATTTGTAAACTATAAGTAAGTCATAAATAAACCTAAATATTTGTTATAACTTAAAAATAAAATCTCCCTTACGGTATCACATGTAAGAATTCATTTTCTATATAAGAGCGCAGGTTCCGAGTTTGGACAATTGGTGGTGGAGTATCTCGACTACGTACAAAGTAATCCCATGGTATTTCTACACAAGAAGATTGTTCTTTAAAGCTTTTACAATAAAATTATATGTATTTGTAATTTGTATTAAACTTTAGCCTAAAACTGTTTGTAGTTATAGTAAATATTTATTAATGTAATGATAGCACCGAAAAAAAACTGTTTCGCTAGTAAGAGTCCTGCCTTTATGAATTATATTTAATCTTGTTTATAAAACTCTAGTACGAAGTGTCCTTCACAGCTGTTTTATATATTTGTTTTATTTTAGTGTGGAGACAGAATGGTGGGTACGGTCTATGATTTTAGCGACAGATATATCACGTCAACAAGATTTTCTTCTGAAACTCAAGGTATGGTTATATGACAGTAATATTAGCATATTTAAGCAAATATAATTAATTGAAATTTCAATAAGCAAATTATATTTTATCTACAATACTTGTTTTTTTTTTTTGGAATTTAAAAGCTACTTTTTTGTAGTCGAGTAACTTATCTTGCGTTAACTGAAATTAAAAGTCATTAGAACGTCACTTCAAACATTCGCTTTAGTTTTAATCGTTTCCGCATGTTTTTCTATTTATTTATTTTTTGTTTTAAATAGTCATAGAATAAAAATAGCTTTTTTTAGTTTTATTGTAAACATGAACTTCCGTAGGTTGAAACGTCAACATATCCAGTAGTTGTCAGTGCAACATTTAGCAAAGAAATATTTCAAAGTTTAAAATCTTCAGCGGTTTTATAATGGATGCAAAGATTAAGTTTCTGAATAAATATGAAGTTAATACTGTGCAATAAACATTAAGTTTAAAGTAAAATATTTAACAACTAAAATATCTAATACTCTATCTACACGTATATATATATAGATAGATAGATAAATACATGTAAATTATATGTATGTAAATATAGATATATATTTCTTTATGATTAAACACGGCCTTTCTCAACGATACAAAGTCTTTACTAAAACCGAATATCTTTTCAATCTTAAATTTACGTAAACTGAATCTATACTAATAAAGAGCCACGTGCTAGTTGTCGTGGTGAGTCCATTTCAGTTCTACCATAGGCCTTTTACAAAAACAGCAACACCAACGTTTTGAAACTTTACTCGTGCAGTTAAATATATGTATACTCACATAGTGCTCTAATACTGATGTATATATTTTACAAAAACAGTATCAAATTATACGAGAATTAAATAAATGTTTTAAGAGCTCTCCAAATATCCATTTTCAAGTTAAAACTTATGCGGTTTGAATCAGATTATCTCCATACGTTAACTTAAGACAAAAAGTAGATAATGCATAACAGAAACTAATTAACGACTAAGAAGATTATACGTAAGACCACTTGCCTTCTTCGTGTTTGCATACAGTGTCACGTGACATCTTAGTGCATTTAATCTCATTATAGATATTAACAATTTTTATAATAATGTTATCTCATCAGTCTCAAAAGTGAAGTTGCGTTAAAAACATGTTTTTATTTCCTTAGAAATACATGGAGGAAACTTCGTTAGACCTTTCCAAGAAAGATAAACGACATTTTATTCTTCAGGTAAAGAGATATCACAAACGTTTTGAAAGTTGTTAACAGTTACTTCTATAAGTATATTCTAACGTGGAATATTGAAAATTCAATACATAAATAAGCCTCATTTTCTAAATTACTTCTGATGTCAAGCCAACTGTTTTTTTTTTGTTTTTTTTGTTGTTGTTGTATCCATAAGTCGAAACATACTACTTAAAATATATTCGGTGATAATAAATCTAAAAATTTGTTCCTTTGAATATATATATTCAGGGTATAAATAATTCAAAAATAATTTATTTTACCATCCAAGATCTTAATACGTTAAAAAGGTTTACTTAGTGTGATAGGAAATATTTTGTTATAAATTAATGCTAACTTTTGAGAAAAACAAACACACTTTTGTTAAAACGTTAAAGTGTAGACCGAGGCATTTTAACCCCTGGTAGTTTAACGGTCAAAAGTTACCCATCAAGAAAGTGTATAAATTCAGTGTTCAGTAGAATTATTGTTATTACTGGATAGGATTAGTTTATTCATTGTCAGATATAGTTCACGATCACACACGATAAATGTTTTAATTTTTCAAAGTCAATACCAGGAACACACTTTCTAATACAACGTTTTGATACTTAGCATATCTCAGAGTCTTGGCAAATAAACACTTATCACATCCTCTTACTTTGTTTTCAAAGTGTATTTAATCTTTTATTCACAAGATAGTAAAAAACTCCAATTTACTTCTTTTATATAAAAACTCATTACACGTCTTCGAAGTGCTATAATCCTAAAATTGATTTTATTTTATCTGAAAATTATTTAAGATAATGTAAATCCCCAGCGCATTTAATGTAAAATATATAGAAGCCTGTAAAGTCTCCTAACGACAGAATGTGACTATAATAGTTTAAATCATATCAAGTGAATAGGCCATTTGTGCTCTTCCTACCACGGGTATCGAAATCCGATTTTTAGAGTATAAGCCCATAGACTTATTACTGAGCCACCTGGCTAGTTACATAATTTTTTGTCAAGTTTTAGTGAATGTCTGTTCTACTTAATTCTATTGAAATTATTGTCCGTTTATTCTAATCATGTATCTTTATATGTTTAAATTTTTATTTACGAGAACACACAACGTTGTTGAAACTGCCTAATTTGAATTTATCTATTTTTGTATTTTTAACAACATTTTTTTTTTAATTATCTACACGCAAACTTAAAACACATGAAACCAGGCAAATGTAGACGTAAACATTACCACTTTGACAACATCTTAAAACACATGAAACCAGGCAAATGTAGACGTAAACATTACCACTTTGACAACATCTTAAAACACATGAAACCAGGCAAATGTAGACGTAAACATTACCACTTTGACAACATCTTAAAACACAGTATGCTGTATATTTGTATTTATGACAGCTATTAAGGTTAGTTGCCGCCATCTATAATTTTTAACTTCTGAGCAGATGGAAGGCAGATAAATAGCAGTAACGTTCTACCCACAAACCATGATAAGGGATTGACTTTCACTCTTATATCATACCCATGGGAAATATTTTGTGATATCACACGGATTCAAACCCATTTTGTCAGTTCCGAAATCCATAGTTCTACCACAGGGCCAACCCGCGCTCCTAAAATGTACTTGGTTTTACAATAAGTTCACCTTGCACTTTTCGAAGTACACAAAAATCGAGCTATTTCCCTATAGTCGTTAAAACAAAGAAAATTATTTATTTACATTGACAATTGTCTTATAAAATAAAATATCATAAAAATACATAGAGAAAAATCTATAAACCTTTTTCAAAGGAACTAATCTAAAAATTAAATTTCTTGCTTTTCTAACGAAATCGATAAAATAGTTAAACACGACACTGTCTCAACTTTGATATATTGTAATTTTCATCATTATTTATTTGATAATTAAGTCACATTAATGAAACAAAAAACATGTGAAAAACTTAAATAGTATATTAAAACAATTGGTTGGTTACAATGTCATGGTAAAGGGCCGGAAGTAACCGACTATTGCATATCCCACGATCATGGTATACTTAAAAAGTAAGGTTATTTCTAATCACATTTGGTTTCGCCTGATTTGATTATCTTATAATCTTTAGGTTGCTTTGAAGTGTGCTGATTTGTGTAATCCCTGCCGGCCATGGTCCATCAGTAAACAGTGGAGTTACCAAGTTTGTGAAGAATTATATAGACAAGGTAATAGTTAGGTATTATGTGGAGTTGTATAAACAAGAGGAGAGTTTGGGTAGTGTGTGTGTGGAATCATATAAGCGTAGTAAGACTTTGAATATTGTGTGAATTTATATATACAATGTATTATCCTAGATAATATGTGGAGCTGTATAAACACAGTAGGATTCTAGGTATTTTGCGAAGTTATATAAACATAGTATGATTCTATGTAGTGTGTGGAGTTATATAAACATAACAGGATTCTAGGTTTTGTGGATTTATATAAGCATAGTGGGATTGTACGTAGTGTGTGGAGTTATGAAAACATAATAGGATTCTAGGTTTTGTGGAGTTATATAAACACAATAGGATTCTAGGTTTTGTGGAGTTATATAAACATAGTAGGATTGTACGTAGTGTGTGGAGTTATATAAACATAGTAGGATTGTACGTAGTGTGTGGAGTTATAAAAACATAATAGGATTCTAGGTTTTGTGGAGTTATATAAACACAACAGGATTCTAGGTTTTGTGGAGTTATATAAACATAGTAGGATTGTACGTAGTGTGTGGAGTTATATAAACATAATAGGATTCTAGGTTTTGTGGAGTTATATAAACATAGTAGGATTGTACGTAGTGTGTGGAGTTATATAAACATAGGGTTCTAGGTTGTGTGTAGAGTTGTATAAACATAGATGATTCTAGGTAGTGTGTAGAGTTGTGTAAACATAGAGGATTCTAGGTTGTGGGGAGTTATACAAACATAGGGGATTCTAGGAAGTAAGTGGAGTTATATAAACATAGGGGATTCTAGGAAGTAAGTGGAGTTATATAAACATAGGGGATTCTAGGAAGTAAGTGGAGTTATACTAACAAGATAGTTCTCCGTATATATATATATGTATATAACCATTCCTGGACCTACTGAGGGTACAATTTATAAAACACCGAGAAGCAATTTACAAAGAAACTAAACTTTTAATCTGTCTTCATTGTGGTGCTACTCCAGCAACGAAGTATATAACGACCTATAATTGAGTAGGCCTTAAATAATATAAGTGTTTAGAAGAGTATGGGTTTCATCGCTCAGTAAATGTAAAAACAGTGTCCTGACAACAACTGTATTTGTTGTATCACAGCTGGCCCGAAGAGCTCTGGACTGAGCGAAATATAGTATGGTTGGAATAATATGGGACTAGATATCAGATGTAGTGTTTGAAAATGTTACACAAGCGCTTTCAAAAGGAGTATCTTTCTTCTTCATATATAATATAATAGGCCTAATACTAATGTTTCATAACAAGTAAGCGTTAACGTTATTTTCGAATCAATATATATATTACTTTTTAAGTGCCTACTGTAGAAATTTTCATGACTAGTTTACATAACTAATTTTACTTTTCGCAGGAGAAGTTGAGACGGAGCTGTGTCTTCCAATAACTCGGGTATGTGATCGTACAAGAACCTCCGTTGCTAGGATACAGAGCGGTAAGTTTGTTTGTTTGTTTTTAATTATGCACAAAGCTACACAAGGGCTATCTGTGCTCTGCCCACCACGGGTATCAAAACCCAGTTTCTAGCGTTGTAAGTCCGAACATACCTCTGTGCCAATGGGGGGCGAGCGGTAAGTGACAATTATTTAACACGTAGCTGTGCGAGTTAACTGAAACCCAGCTTCTGTGTTGCTAAGGTATAGAAGAATATTTTTAGCACGTACCTTTCGTTAATCGTTGAGTACAGAATGGTAGAGCAATGTAATGTTGACAAGGTAATGAATAATAGTTTTTTGGATCATTACGCGTTCGTACTTAACCCAAAGTATCATTGCTACGCTAATAATAGCAATAATCACTAAAATATTTTCTTTAAAAATACTTTTAAAGTCGTTAAAACAATAATTTTATTTTATTAAATTCAGAAATTCTAAAGTTCTTTTATCAGGAAGACGTAGGAAAACAAGTATTGCATAATCTTCCCCCAAATGGCCCAGCGGAATGTCTGCGGACTTACAACGCTAGAATCCAGGTTTCGATACCCATTGTGGGCAGAGCACAGATAGCCCTTTGTGTATAGCTTTGTGCTTAACTACAAACAAACAAACAATTGCATAATCTTGTTATAACTTAATAATTTGAAAAACTTACTTTAATTTTTGAATCTAGTAGTTTTTACCATGAAGCAGTTTTTGAGTTTGCTAAGTTGTTTTTAATTATGAACAGAAAACTTTCTCTGACCTTTAATTTAAATTTCTAGATTTTCTACGTTTCGTTGTGGCACCACTATTCGAGATGTGGCACCAGTATTTGAAGAGCTCTTTGTCTCAGAAGCTGATGTGGCACCTGCTCCATAACCAAGCCCACTGGGATGAACTACTACAGCAGGAACTTGTGGAGCTGGACGACACGAGTTCGGTGTTGGGGATAGCTGCAATGGCTAGTGAGGAGTTTGCACCCTTGGCCTCTGAGGAAGAAGACAGTCTTGAGGACTGTGCTAGTCTTTACTGTGAAAGTATTCTAGTAGTCAACTCCTTCAGCTCGTCAACGCATCGTAGATATAGTCTGCCGATGAAAAAGGTTCCTTCATTGAAAAAGACTGCAATTCGCAGACAGAGTTTCCCGTTATCTCTGGTCTCCCACACGAAAAACCTACCGAGTGGTTGGATTCCTTTTCATTTAAAAAACATTTTTAGTTGCTCATCAAATGTTACCGCCTCTGGGCTTTTGGAATCTAAGACAAGTATTATTTCTTTATCTAGTGAGTTTAATTCTTTAGATTCGCGAAAGCTAGAAAGTGAAGCAAGCAGTAGTCAAATATCTGCTTTACCGCGAGAGAGACTTTTTTCTACTCTTTGTGGAAACCCATCATTTGTGACCACTAAAAAAGGTGGAAAATCTCATGAAAGAAGTATTAAAAAACTAGCTCTGGTAGAAACATCAGATGTTTTAAATGAAAAACTAACTTATACCAGCAATAGTTCAGAACCAGATTGTGATACTGATTGTTGCTCATGTTTTCTGTGCCAAGTTCAAAGCAATAAGTTTCCAGAAGATGAAATTTTAAGACAGGCAACACCACATTCATTTCAAGGTGATAACGTTTCTTCTTCTAGAACATTATTTCCCCAAGGTTCATCTGTGAACTATAATTCTACGAAATATAACGAAATGATTTCAATTAATGTAGATTGTACTAAAATTCGAAAAAACGAATATTTTGGTTATAAACTCGGCACTTATCCAGAAGATCTGTCTTTAGATCCTCAACGTACGAACTCAGCGGCGCACATACCTCGTGATGATATTTCATTCGTAAGTTCAAAAGGTGTAGATATTATAAATAAACAACAGATATTTCGTCCGTACTTCGTGACTTTGGATAGCTCAGGAGACGAGAGTATGGAAAACAACGATAACACAAATATTTTCCTAGAGCCTGTAAGATATCCAAAAGAACCTAATTCCATGACGTGTAAACAACAAGTTAGTCAACGACGTGGTTCAGCACCAGATGTCGTTCCTTACTCTCAGCCAATTGGGTTCAACAACGAAGGGTTTATAATAAAAGATGGTCACGAAATTTCTTTTGACCCAAAGTGCAAAAAGGACTTTGTTGATGCTGGTGAACGTCTTGGAAGTATTGGTGGATGTCCTGGAAATACTTTTGGAAATCATGCAACTTCTGTTGGAGGTACTAGTGGACTAGGTCGTCTTTACAGGTTGTAGGTTTCCTGAAATGTGTAGTTTAGAATTAAAATAAATACAATACATTCTTTAAGGTCCATAAAATAACGTTTGCTTTGCTGAGATTTATTGAAAATGTATACAGGGTTATCGCTTAAAATGTATCATTTCTCTATGAAAATTAATATTACATTATCATTGTAAAGTCGTTCGAAGTGATGTTAAGTTATTCATTGCTAATCTTGTATCTTGAATTTTAGGAATACCAAATTTTCACCCCACTCGGGGGAGGGGGCATATTTTACGATCTATTTGTTTTAATTTTATTTATTGCTTTATTGGACAAAATCATTGTAGAAAATATAATCAAACGAAAATAGATCCACGTGAATGCTCAGCGGTAAGTCTGCTCTGCAGGCTTATGACGCTAAAATTCGTGTTTCGATACCTTTGGTAGGTAGAGCACATATACCTCATTGTGTAGCTTTGCGCTTAACAACAACCAAAACAAGTTCACATAAATACACTTTATACACGTGAGTCTGTATCAGCCAGTAAAAAGTAGGCTTAATGTATTTCTTCTTCCTTTTCTTTCTAGGATTTGGATTGTATATATTACAAATGAAATAAATATAACTAATTAATGCAAAAAACATCAAAACATTCAACTTTTTTCCTTACAGTTTATATTAGTTTTAAGTACGGTAAGGTTTGTTTTTTAAGACAGTGAAAGCACAGCATTTTTTCCATTACAACGTTTTAGATATGCGAAAAATCACTTGACATATTATTAGACAAAACTGGTTTCAACAGAAAAGATACTATATTATAAAGTAAAAGTAGCAATGAGCATCATACCTAAAAAAGCATATATGATGAATTATGGATGAACTTTTTTCCTAAAAAGTTGTTTAAAATAGCCAAAGTAAATGTTCATTAAACATCAGTGTATTGTTCTGTGAGGTATACAGTTAAGATAGCCTGTGTTAGATGATATTCTACTTAATGCTCTTAAATAACTCCAAGCTATTTTTCTTTGTCTTAAATCGTTATGAAAACAAAAGTGAACGTTAATGCTAAAGGTTTACTTGCTTGTTACCAAACTCAGCCAAAGTAAGAGAGATGAAAAGCTGAAATGATTCAACTAACACACTAGATGCAAATTATTTGTTGAAATGTTAGAATAATTTACTTGCATGAGTTTATACCCCGAAGTAAAACACCACTAGCAGGAAACATATTAACTTCTAATCTGCTGATTGATTATCCAGGCTTATCGAAAGAGTTATTTTTTCTGTCTAATATAAACTATAAGAGAGATAGAAATGTTGTTTCTTTGTACTTTCTCAGGTCAACTACCAGACTGTAAACACTCATCTTATGAAGGAGTTTTTAAAGATTGTGTAACGAGCAGCAATCGAACTAAATTCCTTCAGCGCCGTCACAGTTTTGCTATACTTGAAACCATCCCTTCGCCACAAAGTGGTACAGCATCCAGTGACGCTAAGCTCACCAGTGACTCAAAACACATCCCAGACTGTTATATAACAAGAAAACATGACAATATTCTAGGGACGTTCTTACAATATTCGCCTGAAGGTGCCCACAATGACAGTGGTGATAACGTCAGTCACTTTTTGCCATTTGGCCGAAGAGGATCTTTACCGGGCGATATAGGCTTGGCCTGGACATGTCGTATCCAGCCTCTAAAGTCATCCCCAAGACTTCGTCGAGCTTTTGGTGGTGACATAAAAGCAAAAGAGTTTGTTTCACGAGACCAAGTCAGCGAAGGCCGTAGGAGAGGTTCAACTGGAGACATCATAGTAAATGTAGTAGGTTCTATGCTCGATGTTGTTTCAGGCCAGTGCTTTCCTACAGTTAATAATGGCAAGAGGAACATTTCTTTCTTTAAAACAGAACCATCAAAAGTATCCAGTAGCCCGAGATTCTCAAACATTAAAAAACCAGAGATAAAATACTGTTCTTCATTATCTGCCAACCAAACAGAAATTTCTCCAAGTCAGTCAAAGACAAGGAAGCTTCTTCGGAGACAGGCCTGTTCTTTTGACTCGTGGTTCCTTCCTGATATAACGTTGAAATGTTTTTCGTCGTGTCCACAGACAGCCTCCGAAAACCCTGAACCAACTATCATTCCCAAAGCTTTTGAATTTCAGAGGAGGCGAGGTTCCCTACCCTATAACATGCCCTATTTTTACAACATAGCAGGTGAGCTAGTACAGGCATTAAACTTCAAAATGAAAGGTTTAGTAATTTAACTTACATGCAATTATATAGGATTAGCGAACAAACAAATTCAATATATATTACTTTATTTCACTTAAATCATGCGATATATGTTTAATCTGGTAGACTGTTAACGTCACAAATGCATTTTTACCATGCTAAACCAACTTGTTACAGTAAATAGAAAGTGTATTATACTCCAAGTAGTTGTTTTAAATCACCCAAACTGTATTAGTTCTATCATCTTATTAATCTACAGAAGATTCCACAAGGAGTATCTTTTTTTAAGACGCCTCTACATAGAAACCTAAATGCCACCTTACTCAAGAAGCAGGCTTAAAGAAGTGTCTTCTTTTCTGTGTAGCAATTTGAACTTTACTATAAATGTGCTATTAATTACATGCTCTTTACCTACCGCCCATAATTTGGTTTGTAATATTTACTTCAAATAGTTGCAACCGAATAAAGATATTTCGTATTCCAACCTTTAGAAAAAACATACAATAAACGCAAAATGAAATGGGCCAAAATTTCGGCTTAAGAACAGGATTGATATGTGTCGACATATATGTCTTTATATGCTAGTTTGTTGAAGCCTTATAATAAGTTACTGATAATTAGTTTGAACTTGTCGTTCACACAAATTTCTTTAAAATCTCTAATAACTTTTTTTAAATCGTTTTTCTACTTAACTTTTGGCTTCGTATTGCAGCGTATTTCAGCTAGGGTCAAATTTTAAAAATTTATACTGAAAAGCTTTTCAATTTCACAGTTATTATTTTCAATTTAGGTTTAAAATATAACTCTCAGGTGAACAGGTCTTTAATAAGGAATACTTATTGCTAATTGATTTCCACAAAATGTTGTCTCTAACTACCTCAAGAAAAGTCACCAAACTACAACACTTGACACACACACAAACTTTGTATGATGCGTTTTATACGTTGACTTGGGGGAGACAGAAAGGAGTCAAGTATTATAAATTAAAAATAAATTGTATTTTTGCCCCTTTAAAAAGTTTATTTATCATCTGTAATTAGCAAAAAAGCAAAATTACCTCGGACTCTCTTTACACAGATTCGCTGTGGTTTGATATTGTTTCAAACTACCTATCAACCCACCCTCTAGGTCTCACTTAATTGGATATACTTCTTTCGGTTCAAGTTATACAGTATAACCACTCCGCCCTTTCAAACAAATTATGACTTTTTTTATATATACATCAGCGAGAGTCACAGTGCAGGCGGGTTTAAATATCTTAAAAGACTAAATTCTGATATCTCAGCTGGGGGTGGGGCAGAGCTCTTTAATGGGGATACCCTACTTTCACCCTGTTGAACATGCCTCTGTTGTGGTTTACCTTATCCACGTATTCCAAAAAGGCAGTTTGAAACTTTTCTGAACCGGTTCATGAGTTTTGTGTTGTTGTTTTTTGAATGACCAATGCAACCTGCTCTTTACCAATGAAACAGTTCAATGAGTTTTTTTTTCATATTAGCAAATATCAGTGCTTGTCATGCATTGCTAAACGTATGGAGAACATGATAAAATTTCGTTTACTTTAGTTACTTGGATTTCAGTGTTATTTATTTTCTCTGCAAATTTCATTTTGTAAGGGCAGAAGTATCACTGGCTGCGTCCATCGGTTTTAAGAAATCTGTAAGTTCAGCTTAGTTCAGTTATCATCATATTGTAGCAGTTTGTTAAAACTTTGAAGTTACTTTTCGCAATGTCTGTTTTAAGTAACGTCTTCCAAACGTGTAGATACTTGGTTACATGGTCGTGCCTTTTATGTTTGAGCCAAAATAGGATGTCAGAGTTTTTTCAATATCTAATCTTAGCTTTAGCATATTTAATATGACGTTGAATGAGCTGATATCTATATAATCAAAAGAGTAAAATGTGTGCGTGAAAAGCTTTTTTAAACATCATTAAACTATGCACAAATGAAGTTAGGAGTAGGGAAGCATGGACGACGTCAGCATATGCATAAGGGAGGGGGGTGGTTACAGAAAGTACTACCCATTGCAAGAGGAAGGGTATTTGAGGAATGGATCTGTAATCCCTCAGAGTCCCATCCTAGACAGCAGTATTTATGTGTTAAGGTTTTGTGTGTGAATTTCTTCATTTGTTTACGGACGTTAGAGTGCTGATACCGTCACCTATATAAGTTTAATACTTGCTCCCAATACCCAGGTTTTGAAAGCACCGCTTGATTTCTTGTCTCTCACCATATATATCAATCGGTTTGTCATTTTTGATCATAACATTAGGCTCAAAGTGTCTTTTGTATTAGAGGTATTTGTTGGGTATTGCGTGTTGTGGAATATGTTTAAGCTCGCAACCATTGAGACGTCCCACACATCCATCATATTCGTTCAGAATTCTACGTACCTATCCCAATACATGAGTTTTCCAGGCAGGTCACTTAACTGTTTTCGCTACTTTAAATACACAGTACTGCCTTTACATTTTATAAGCACGAGATTTCTACTTAGTATTGTATTATGAAATAAAACAAGTGTTGTTGATTTTTCTGATGATTTTTTCCACTAGTTACAAAACAGTAATATTTGATTATTGTGCCACTCCTTAGAAGATGCTGTCAATCACATTCATCTTTGAGTATATGATTGGGACTTTCATTTGCTTGTTTTATTTCTATTAAATAATTGTTTCAACTCTCTTCTGCGTATCAGAGACTCTCTATTATTGATGAATACAAATATCTAGGTGTGGCACATGATGATTTTCAAAGACGTCTCATACTTTCCTGGGCTCTTTCAGCTAGTTCTGAGGAGGCATAATGCCCAATCCTTATTAGTGTATACCTGAATATCAATTACTTTAGGCTGTGGAATGTTCTGTATGATTCTACACCCTTATCTGCTACCTGTAAAATTTGTGCTTTTCAAAATACTGGCTTGAGTATTTGTTTGGGTGCATTTGAAAATTGAAACGTACGTCTACTTCTTCTTTGCGAATTTTAGCTCATGGGGCTCTTTTTACCCTTTGCAGACAGTATTTTATTGCTCATTGTGGTTTTAAGTCTTTGCAATGCACTAAGAAGATTTTCCAGTAGTACCTTCAGAACAATTTCTACGTGTAACTTTGCAGTTGAAACAAGGCCCTCTCTGCGATTCTTCATGGCATTTACTAAAATGAGGTTTATTACTACGATAATATTAGATAAATATCAAGAAAATAGGAATTGTCTGACTTATATAAGAATATTTCAGGACTTTTTTTACATGTTTATGGTGATGTCATACATATGTCTTAGCTACTAGCCTGTGCCTTTTATGTTCAATTCCTAGATATTCTCTCATTTTATAGTCTCTATCAGTAATTTTGACTAAACTTGTTTGCATTGTTTTTCTTATGCTCTCCTGGCTTAACACTGTTGGGAGTTTTCTTCGGATTAATCTTTTCACTGCTCTTTTAAGCAAACAAGTTTTGTTATAGGAGTGTCATTTTCTACATTACTTTCTTATTTGTACGCATCGGTTATTGGTTTGTTTTTTTATTAGAGGCCACATTGGAGTCCTTGGTAAAAAAAATAGGCTGATAATGTCTCTAAGGTTGATTTTTTCAGAAACTATTCCCTCTCTAATTATCGGGTGAACGGTCACTACTTCTTGGTCAAAGCTTTGGTCAGGCATTCGACCTGTTTCGACAATAGTTTCTCCCCCGAAACTTTTGGTCAGGTCCTCCCTGTTGTCCTGAAAAATGGACGAGATAATTTTTTCATGCCTTGGTTACGTCGTAGAACTTGCGTACTCTTCTATATTGGTTTCTCGTCTATCCTGCCTATGTCTCTGTACGTCTATTCTTACCAAAGTTTTGCTTATAAACAATTTACTCTACTCTTTGTCCTCTTTACTAAGAGGTAGTTATATAATCCATCCTGTTCTTCAAGTTTGTCCAAATCCTGTATTACTTTTTCTTAAAGTTTCTTCCTCCTTTCACGTTATTAATCCTTTCTTTTAGGGAGGAGTTTCCTCCTTGTAACGTTTTGGTGCTCCTACTGTAAACTGTATAGTGATGTATCTAAATCCGACTAGGTGAGGCATATAGAAGAAGAAATATCACCCACCAATACCAATTTCTTATGTTTGAAATCTGAGTTTCATTCAAGCATAAATGCCTTGATTAATCCCTCTGTAGAAAGTTTTTATTACATTTATCTTAACTAAATAATTTCCATTGTTTTTATTATGGGGGATTTCCTAGTTTTCTAAATGAATAAAAATCATCAATTGGACGTTCTATTTTAAAGTAACTTTTTGTTAAAATTCGTTAAAGAAGCGATTTCAGTGTCTAACCTAAACTGGCTTTTTTCTTCCTTAGGTGTTCCATCCAGCTATGCCATGAAGTATTAGATCCTTGACCTAAATGATGTTAACCAACGAAAAAAAACTAAACAACTAGTGATATGTTTTATGGTTGGCTACTTTTTTGTGTATAGCGTTCAGCTCCCGCCCCCTAACTATGCAATAAAATCCTTTGTTAGACATGTGACAGATATTGCTGGTTTGATTACTTTTGGGAAAATATTTTTTTATCTAATACTACACTTAAAAAACTTAAAATACTGCAAAAAATTTAATACATGTATATGTATAACTCAAAAGTAACTTCTTCCTCTAACGGCTGTCCGGTCGTGGCCAGTTGGTTTGCGTCCCGGATTGCAAACAGAAGGTCAAAGGTTCGTGGCTGCACACTGATAAAAGCGCTCTGTACATTCAGCTATAAGCATGTTTATAAAAATTACAATTCCATTATCCGGTTCATACAGTCGGACAAAGCCCTTGCGGCGGCGGGTGCTGCTGGCTGACTACCATTCCTTGTCATTAGTTAGTCCATGTGTCGTATTTAGTTCCTCCCAGGTTCAAAAACTTCCGATTTTCCTTACTACAAACGAGAATAACAATACCAGTACAGATTGATAGATAAAGCTTAGAAATAAATTTATAAAATCAATAAATAATAAAAGTACACAAAATGATACTCATGTCTGTGATTTTCTTAAGTAATTTCATATTTTTGTAATTTTACTCGCGATGTCAAATGTTTTCTGTACTTGCGGAACAAAAACAAAACAAGTTAATAACTTTTAAAATCCTTTTTTAATGATGGGCAGTTATTAATTTTTGCGTAGTGAAATTATATGTAGTTTAATCCGCTTATACTAGTGTGTTTGTTTATTCTGTTTTTAGCGCAAAGCTACATAATGATGTAGGTATGTTCATTCCGTCCACCGCGTAGATCTAACCCCGAATCATAAGGTTATGAATTTATCCTAAGCCAACAGGAAACAATATTTTAAACTGTTAAGCAAACTTTTAATGTTGTATTTAGTTTATTAGAGAAAAACCAGGCACAGTCCTAAAAAAATAAAGTAGTGAATGATGGGCAGTGATCTCAAACTTCCTTAAGAAAAAACAAAATAAAAATATATGCCTTTTAAATTTTCGCATTAGTTTTCATATCACGTTATTAAAACTGGAGGAGAGATGTCATAATAAGTTGAAGAAGTACTTAAATTCCAAATTAAAACAGTTTGTTACTGACGTTTCGGCTTACTCCTTTTCAAGGTTCAGCCTTTTGTCTAAGTACTAAAAATAACTAATAGTTATTAAAGAAGAACGTCTTAGAAATATAATTTGAAACACATTGTTGCAAATTAATCAAGAAGACAAGTACTAATGTGGTTTAACAATGCTAGAAACTGGTAAAGGTATAAACTTTGCCCTCCCCTCCCCCCACAGTGAGTTAGCGGTAAGCCTGAAGACTTATAACGCTAAAAACTGGGTTTAAATACTCGTGGTGGGAACAATATTGTGTGGTTTTGAGCTTAAGAACGAACAAACAATCGGTACAAATATCCTAACAGCCCAGACCGGCAATTAACGCCAAGTTGTAATTTATGATATTTCTGACATGATAAACATCGCTGGAATCGTACAGTTAATAGAGTATGTAGACATGCATCTAATGGCATTAAGTTTTAAAAGCACAAAAAGCATCTAGGAGTAACTTTTAAGGGCATTGTGCACAGCAGAGTTCATATTCTGAGGTTTATAATTGAGCATGAAATTAGAACACATGTGCTTTTAAATTAAAATTTGTGAAATGTTATTTGCGTGCAAAATAAAGACGAGCAACATTTTCTTCAATTATTATTTTCATTTAAAGATTTGTTTTGTTTGTTTGATATAGCAAAAAAAAACTACACAATACACTACCTGAGCTTTGTCCATCCCGGTGGCGCGAACCCCGGATTTGAATTGAAACACATATAAAATAAAGTAATAGGCGAGCCTGTTTATAAGAAGTGGAAGTGAAGTTTGGAAAGTCAATAAAATCGTATAAAAGACAGATGCGAGAATTATTTTATTAAAAAGAAAGAGTTGACCAGTAAAGTTTACGTCTTGGGACATAGGAGAACATCGAATAATTTGAAATGACAAGTGAGTATGTGTAACAGTATTAGTGAACCCAAAAGATGCCTTTTACACTAGATGAGATATTTGACAAAATAGAAAGGAACTGGTATTCACGTTTATCCACATTAATCAACAGACATTTATAATTACCACTTACACCAACTGAAGAACGTCTCCTAGTGGGTCAGCGATAAGACAGATCGCAGATAGCCCATTGTGCAGCTTTGCGCTAAAACAACAATAACCAACTGGAGGCGATATATAAGATTTATCTATCCATGATTCGTAGCAGTCTCGTCAACACCACATGTGCTTATAAAAGTAATACAGAGAAAAGCTCATTAAATTCGCAATATATAAAGGAAAAGGTTACCATAGCATCTGCTACCATGACAAGTTTGGCTAAGTATACGACTACTAAATAGCTAACCAATATATGAGAAAAGAATGAATAAAGTCAGTATCAAGAAGTGTAAAATTTACAGCGTATTCTATTTACACACTAATTGAAACAGTAGTAAGCTATAGCTGACATTAACATAAAGCTAATTGCTCGAAAAGACAGATGTAATAGATAATACGCATTCAGTTGTATGCATACACACATATATATATATATATATATGTCTTTATTTATCAATGTATGTAAGAACAGTGTAAAAATAAAAGGATCAAAAATTTAGGTGGAAGGAGGTTCAATACCTACGGCCCCCCAAAGGCACAGCGGTATGTCTGCGGACTTACAACGCTAGTAACCGGGTTTCGATACCCGTGGTGGGCAGAGCACAGATAGCCCATTGTGTAGCTTTGTGCTTCATTACAAACAAAACACAACAGTACCTAGGATATTTCACAAGGAATAAACTCACAAAATCAAAATAGATATATATAGTTTAAATTGCCAAAAAGTAATTGTAATAAGTCTAATACGATCTGATTTGTTGATGAAGTGAGTGATAGACCTTAGTTAAAATGACGTTTATTTAAAAGTAAGCTAAGGAAGCTTCTGCTCTTCTTACTAGAACTCCGTATAGAAGATTTAAATTACTGATATTAGTATTACGGATGTTTAGTATGTTATATCAAACGAACTTGCAGTCTGCTCACGTCGCTACAGTCCATCTTGCAATGTCCAGTCATGCTCTTTCTGACGACCGAACAATAACCCTGTAGCATAGTGTCCATTGCAAATCGTTCCATCGTAAGATTGTAATGTCCAAAGAGCACCGCTCCTCTATGCGTGCTTTCCGTAATCCATCTAGTGCACGGAGATGACAGTTTCTTAGGGCTAATTTCAACAGTCCGATAACGCATGCTCCTAGAGGCGCTACGTACAGCAACTTGACGTCATCTCATTGTCTGGAATATTTCGAAAACCCATTTCATTTTCGAGCTGCCTGAGGAAATTCAATGGTTTGTACTGGTATATCATGAAAGCAGCTTGTGTATGCTCCACTTGTGTCTCTTGTTACAAGACACCACACCTTGCTTTTTATGACTGAGGTATGACTTGTTGGAGGTATCTTTCTGCTTGTTCCTGGTGCTTGAAGGTGATTTATATTCCTTTGTTTGCATGTCATTGAGTTCATTGACTATCCCAATCTTGGGAACTTTAAATTCTGATTGGAATTCATCTTTATGATATGACACGCTCACGTCACCGCTCTTATACTCAAAAATGCTCAAAACATTATTTCGCTAATCTACATTTTTGTCTTAAATCTGAATCTGGAAACTATTTCTCTCATATGATGTTTTTGTGGATACATTTGGCCATAAAGTCGAGAACTTTGACCATTAAGCATATATATAAGAAAATCATCACCATATTTGCAAGTAAACTAATATGACTCGAAAGTAGAAATCAGTATGTTTTCTTGTGCAAGTTGGAGGTTCGAATCCAACCTTCATGAGTTTCATTTTTCACAGATGTTTTTATAAAATTTGTACAAAATTTATTGACTTTGTCAAATAAAAATACTCGTTGACCTTCAATAACTGGCTAAAAAGCCATAAAACCGAAACAATCAGTCAGAAAATAAGTAATCATTTTTGAAATGAACAAATTGCTATTCAGTTTAAAATTATTTTCAAAACATTTACAAAAGTGTGGTTTTAACCTCCAACATGAAATATCTGAATATTTCAACTTGGATATCAAAACTGTGACATTTTTTCCATTTCTTCGGTTTCTTCTTGAGAACACCAAGTGAGAGAAAAAACTATTTTCAGTTTTAGGGCATAAAGGTGTACTAGTGAAATATCATTCTGTGGATTTTTGGGGGTGTAATAGTTGTTTAGACGTCCATGTCAGTGTATAAATATTTTGCGTCAAAAAAGACTATTACATGCTGTCTCCAAAGTGATCAATTTTGGGTGGAATCACACGACTTACGAAACATCAAATATAGTTCTGATACATTACCTTCCACGACGACCTTATATTGGTTGTGGTTGTCAAGTGACTTCTTTATTTGCATATTCAAAATTACTTTGATATAGCATAGTAAATTCTCTGTAAGATTTTGTAGACAGATCATTTTATTCCTAGCCTAGGCTGTTTCTTTTTCCCCATGAGTATGTTGTGATCATCGAGAGAGTTTTCAGCACTAGATTTTGATCCCACAATCTATAGCTTGTGAGTTGAGCACTCTAACCATCAGGCCATGCTAGGCCTGACCTTGTAAAGCTGCTATCCCAAAAGTCAAATAGGAAGACAGAGTTATTGATATGTGGATTTGCTCATTTGTGGTTAGATCAGTTAGTGGAGGTGGCAGTGTCTGTCAAGCTTTGGCTTTAAGAGGTTTAGCAGTACATACCCAGAAGTTGTGTACACTGCATGTGTGTTTTAAGCCTAATTCTCAGAACTTATGAGAGAAAGTAAATAAGAATGTATAACAACATGTCTGTACTCATTTTAAGTATCTTGATATAATCCTGCTTATATAGTCTTGGGCAAAATGTTAGCATACTGTTCTATATTGATGTTATTGTCTACATGCATGGAGTTATTGAGTAAATACTTGAGTAGTAACAGAGAAGG